TCCAGCCACACCCTCGGACAGAGGGACTCATGGCCAGAGCTTGAATGCACAGGAGAGTTCCTGTCCAAGCCTTGTACACCGATTTTGAAACTCTCTGTGAGGTTGATGGGGTTTAACGCATCATCCACGTCCTCATTAAAGACAAACACGAACACACTGTTCTGTGCTCCCACAGCACACAGACCTCACACTCCTGTTGCAGATGAACACTGAGATTGAATTACTAACAGTGTACATTCCCACAAATACAGCAGCTGGGCACTGTGCTCCTCCGCTGAGTCTCCGCCATTCCTGAAGTCTTCCCTCAGGGATGAAGGCACTCTAGGGATCTAGAAGATGACCCCCACCCCAGCCATTTCTGCTCCCCGCAAATATCCCCTCCTAGCTTCTGGGAGAAAGAAGCGATCTAATAAACAATCAATAAATATAATCGGCAAATACAGTCAGCCTTGAGGTAAGAGAAGCAGACCCTCCTCCACTCCAAACCCAAAGCCAACCCCCAACCCCAGCTTGCTGCTGCGCTGGAGTTAAGCCTGCTGCTGAAGTTCACTGCCACCAAATTTCTCCTATCCAGAAATGCAGATGATAGGGGAAGTAATTGGTGGCAGACGATACCCAGGCCTGTGGGTGAAAGTGTCTTTCTCCAGTCTACCCAGCGTCTCACATTGGGCAGTCAGAGTGATCCACCAGACAGGCCTCTGGGCCAAGTTCCAGAGCAAGGTGGCAGCTCTTCAGCAGGGCTTACTGGGCTGGGCTGCTAAGCAGGTGGGTAGCAGGAAAGGTTCTTGAAAGAGAAGAGAGGGACTCCATGGAGTCAGAAGAGCCCCAGGTACTTCCCTGGGGAGCCAGAGGTCAAGGTCTGAAGAACCATCAAGACCCAGGACCAGAAAAGCAAATGGCCAGGGGAAGCCAAGTACCAGCCAAGAATAAATAGGACAGGCTGCCATGATCTTTCAAAGTTAACACAAAGACTTCCCAGGCCCACGTCCACCACCTGGGTCAGCCTCATACCAGACAGACAGATGTGCACATGCTCACATACACACATGCACCCCTGAACAGCCACAGCCTCGAATCTTGGTCCATATCCCTACCCCCACCCCTCACTTGCCTCCTCGCTACAGACACACGTGCTCACAGTCATAGAATTTCACCCACACAGCGCCTGTGTCTTTCTGATCACTGGAACAACTGGCGACAGTTGTAGGTTCAAACAAGCACAAAAGAAGAAATGCAGGAAATCACTGAGTGCCTCTGCAAGGGGGAGGGGGAAGCGCCTAAGAAACTGAGGAAAGACAGGGTAGGGTGGGAGATGGGCTGTCCCACACTGCAGGGAAAACCCCTAGCGGCTCCCCCAAGCTCATGGGGATCCACGTGGGGTCAGAATCTTCTCCTCAGAAACCATATCAGGCAGGTTGAATGTGGATGCATAATAATAATATCCCATATTTGAACAGGACTCTCCACTTTTCAAAGAGCTCTTCCATCCATTATCACCTAGAGTCACGCCAGACCATAAAGCTGCTCATCTCCTGGAGTGCAAATGACCATCCCGCCCCCACAGGACACAACGATGCCTTCTCCAAAATAATCGTTAATAGCTAAGCATATGTAATAGTTGTGTGAGCATGCTTGTTTTTGTGTGAGTGCGTGCAGAAGCTTTATGTAGCAGAGTGGGATACAGTCAAACAAAAATGAGGTTGCCATGGCAACAGGCTCCGGCATCATTGCAGCCTATTAACACAAGTGAGGAATGTGTTTGGCAGATGCTCCAGTGTTATTTATGGTATGGGTGTAGCAGAGGGACTTCTAACAGGCAAAGGAGGGGGAAAAAAACAACCCCGTGACGCTCCTACTATACCCCAGCGAGGAGACAGGAGACGACAGTGAGACAAGAGCACAGAAGAGGCTGAGAGGCCTCGAATGGGGAGAGAGAGATGGGAAAGCAGAGCCTGCAGGAAGGCAGCAGAGAGGCGAGGTGGGCAGACAGTAACAGGGATCAGAGGGAGAGGGAAGAGAAAGGAAGTCAGAGAGGAAAGGAGCAGGCAGAGAGAGAGAAGGAGCCGAGGGGGAGGGTGACAAACACTAGGGACAGAGCCAGAGGGACAGAGAAGGGAAGAAACACCATCCTACCAAGAGGGACTGTGGCACCTTGTGTCCTGTTCCTCCCTTGAGTCAAAACCGTCAGGAGCCACTGGTTAAGAAACCAAACGCTTCTCCTAATTGGAGCCAAGGGCAGAGCCCCACACATAAGAGAGGCTGAAGAAGAATAAAATACACAGGTCAGATAATGATGTTGAGGACCTGAGCAAACGGAGAGGGGTCCAGCCTTGCAAGAGGAGCAGTGAAGAAATGCCAGTCCAGTTTACTGAGGGCCTACTATGTGCCCAAGCCACCAAATGGAGAATTCCCAAAGCCCCAACATAGGAACTGCTCATTTCCCTGGACATGTGTCTCATCAAAGAAAAGAACAAGGCATCTAATCCAAACCACTCTCACACGCCTGCTGCTCTGGCGTAACCTGAGGCAGAGGTTGATGCTGGACTTCCCCCACCAGCCAGCAGGGTTTGCTCAAGAAAGACAAATTTTATATGAAGCATAATCAAAAGGGTAAATCAAGTACAAACAAAAAAAGACACAGTTTTCTCTGAAGCCAAATAGAGGAAATGTTTGCATTCCCTTGTCTTGAACCACTCATAACAAGCTCTGCACCACTCAGAGCAGATCATATAAAGTAAGTGTAAATCCACCCAAAATCCTACAGCCTTGCAAAGGTCTAAAGACCAAAATGGGTAAAAGAAGAACAGGGCAGGAGCCAGTGGGGGTGGGGAGAGAAGGGAGAGGGATTTGCCTAAGGAACCAGAAGGGGAAGTCAGTCAGACAGACACTCTGTTGCTGCAATGGTATTTTCATGCTAAGGTGGAATTGGGGTCCCCCAGGTTCAGCACCCCTTTCCTGGGATCTGACTCCAACCTCCCTCAGGAGAAACCATACCTATAGCTGTAAACAGACCTTGTGTCCCAAGTTTGGTTCACAAAATACCCTGAATTATCCTGAAAATCTCCACATGGATGACATGCCCCTTCCTCTACAGAAAAGCTACATCCACCCAAGTCAGGAGCAGTCCCCAAAGATACAACAACCGCCTGAAAGCACGAGTCCTCGGGTCAAAAGAGTTGGGGCTTTTATAAGCACTGACAATGGTAGTAACTTTTAAACCACCACCTCTCAAAAGGCTTCTTCAAAGCTAGTCTCTAAATATTTTTTTTTCTTCTGATCTCAGATCAGAAAAAAACTTTTAACTTAGCATCAACAGCCCCACCTACTCCACTCACTGGACCCCAACTATATTGGCAAGCAGTGATTAAATTCCTACTAAGTACTCTGCACTGTGCTAGGTAAGGGTGAGAGAATGGAGGAAGAAAAACACATATACCTTGGGATTTGTGCATCCATGGAGGTTACACTGGACAGACAGCAAGACCAGTGGACACTGGAGAATGAATAAGTGCTCCACTCTGTGCCTCTGACTCTATTGTTAATCATGCAGAAGACCAAGAGACCAGTGTGGTTGGAATGGAAGGAGAAGGTTCCTTGTAGGGGTACGGCTTGGGGCAGAGAATGTTAGAAGTGGAAGGGACACAAACAATCCTCTCATTCTCTAGAAAAGGTAGCAAAGGCCCAGAGAGCTTGTGTGTCCCCTCCCTCCCAGTCACAGAGCACCTTGCAGGTTCAGCTAGAGCCCAGAGCCCTGAAACCCATAACAGTGCTATTCCCTATGGGAGAATACTGTGTCCAGGAAGCCAGGGGGCACAGGAGAGCAACTCAAGAAAGATGCGGTACTCAAGAGGATAAAAGTCTAAGGGAAGGCACTAGAAGAGGAGACATGGAGGAAAGCAATGACAATGGAAAACCCTTAAGAGGTTCTATTCGAGAAGGCAGACACCAGTGGGGGGATGTGTGCACTGGGGTCCAAGGTGAAGAGACTTGCCTGTAGCAAGGGCCCAGTGGACTCTCACATTGGAGCAGCATGCAAACAAGCAGGTTCAGAAGCAATCATGGATGAGGACCAGGAAACCAGACCACAGGACACTAAAGGGAGATATGGTATGGATGTCAGGGGGCTCCTCTCACCCTGAGGTCAGGATGGCCAACATGCCCGTCTCCCAGAAGCCTTTAAGAGAGTCACCAGTTAGCCAGGCAAAAGTTGTATTTCTTCCTGAACCTACAGTTGTAGGCTCAGCCAACAAATCCCAGCAGGGATAAAATGTCCCTACCACAAGCAATGACCAGGGGCACCCACTTGAAAGGGTCATGATGTTCAACAACAGCTTTCTGCTCAGGCCGGAAGGGGAATTGCCACCACACACATCTCAGAGGCTCCTTCCCACTTTAGCTAAGGGCAGCTTTTTGGCTTGGGGCACTTTGCTAACTGAAACAAACTTGTCAGTCCTCCTGCAAGTTCAGGGATATCTCCAGCTTCCAAATCCCCAGACTTAGACAGGTGGCAGGCTCATGCTATCTCCTCCTTACCACTGAGCAAGCGGTGCAGGGTGTCCCCTCACCAACTCTCTATCCAGGTCTGGATTAACAAAGCAGCAGTGGCACTCAGGAGGGGGTGGTTGCTAGAGGGTCCAGCCAGTTTTGTTAGAGGCCTTTTGTATATAAGAACAGAAGCTCAGGAAGAGAGGGGAAACACTCCTTATCATTTTCTCCTCCAACCTTCCTTCCTCACTGCATTCCCAGTGATGGCTACAGTTCAGTATACGTTATCTAAGGGGCAAGGAACACTGCAAACGACACAAGGGCAGTCTTTTTGTAAACGAAGCCGCTGCGGCTCAGAGCGGGGTAAGAAGCTCCCAAACAGCCTACATGGCCAAGCCCTGTCTCTCTGGCTCTTTTCACCATTCGAAAGGGTAAGGGTGGGATCCCTTTCTTTGGAGTCAAGCTGAGGCTTGCCCGCCCTGCAGTCCAGCCCCGGTGGCCAGGTGGGCCCCTACCTGCTTGAGCAAAAACTGGTCCTGGGCGTTGGTGCGCAGGGCGATGACCAGGTGGAGGGCGGACAGGAGCACCCCGCTGAGCACCGCGGCCCGCATGCGCACGGGCAGCAGCGTGTAGATGGTGTAGATGAAGAACACGGTCCACCAGATGCCCTCAGAGGCGCTGCGCGGCTGCGGCAGCAGCAGGCCCACCACCTGGACGGCCAGCACCACGGCGATGAGCGCATAGCAGGCCAGGCCCATGTGGTCCTGGTGGAAGGCGGCGCGGTTGCAGAGCACAGCCATGATGAGGATGACGCCCACGGCGGCCGCCAGCACGGCCAGGTAGGGCAGCTGGAGCGGGGGCCGCGCCGCGTGGAAGGCCAACATGACCAGGCACACGAGCACCAGCACGGCCATGAGCATGGTGAGGCTGCTCTGGTTCAGGCGGAAGAAGTAGCGCTGGTACAGCCGCTCCAGTTTGTCCGACGGGAACTTCTTGGAGCGGAATATCTGCAGCAACGCCAGGCAGCAGGCGCCCAGGGACAGCACCGCGCCGGGCCCCGCGCCCGAGCCCGAGTCTGCCGAGCTACCGCCATCCCCGGACTCCTCGCCGCCCTCGACGGCGCCGGCCTCCAGCTCGTCGGCTGCGCGCCCCTTGCCCCGCCGCTCCTCCAGGCCCACCTCCACCGAGCGAGGGCGCACCTCCGTCCCGCCCGCCGAGGCAGCCGCCGCCGCCGAGCCGCCGCCGCCGCCCGCAGGGGGCGCCCGGGTGCTGCCCCCGCCGGCCGCGCCCCGCCGTTGCCGGCGGCTGCCGCGACCGCAGTCGTCGCCGCCGCGCTCCTGCCAGGCGGACTTGGAGCGGAAGCTGAAGCCGAAGCCCCCGGCCAGGGGATCGTCGCCACTCAGCGGAGGATCGTCGTCGTCGTCGCTGCGCCAGCGGCTGGCCAGGCGCTGCTGCTGCTGCTGCTGCGGGGTCACCGCCCCCCCGGGTTTCTTGGTGGAGCCGCGGGCAGAACCCCCGGGGGCATGGGGGTAGCCATTCGCGCGGGAATCGGCCTCGCCCCACGCCGAGCGATGTTCGGGGCCTCCCCGGGGCGCCGGCGCCGCAGTCTTCTGCGCCGCGTAGCCCGGGGGGCTCACGCTTTTGGAGCTGGACATCCCCCCCTCGGCCTCGTAGTCTCCTTCCTCCTCCTCCCCCGGAAGCCGGGCCGGGGGTCTCCAAGGGGAGGGCGGACGGCCGAGCAGGGGGACCAGGCTAGGGTCACACGTCGAGGGCGGCCCGGGGCCCTGCGCCGCAGCGGGGCATCTTGGCACCCCCGTCCTGAGCGGAGGAGGAGGGCACAGCCCCGAGGTGAGAAGTAGCTGAGGATCCTCGTCAGAAGTCCCAGGTCCGAGATGGAGTTGCCTCCGAGGAGGGGTCGCGGGGAGTAGTCGGGCTGCTGCTGCGCCGCACGCGGAGAGACGTCCGGGATCCTGGCTCGCGTCGAGCTCGACGAGGGCCGGAGTTGCGGACGAGGCGGGACGGAGCGGTGTCCTTGCGGGCGGTGCCTCCCCGGACCGGCAGTGCCCGGGCGCGGCGCTCGCAGATTCCGCCTAAGCGGAGCCCAGCTGCTCTCGGGGCTCGGCGGCGGCGAGGGAGGCTCGGCGGGGGTCCCAGCGAGGAGACACTGCAGGTGCCCTTTCCTCGCAGCGGACTGGGAGCGACTGGGAGGTGCGGGCGCCAGCCAGCATTATTTTCTTACGAGGGGTGGGGAGGTGGGATGGGAGGTGGAGAGGACGGGGGAGGGGGCGGCGGG